TTAGTATTCATCCGCTTGTACCTTTATTGCTTAGCTTATCTCTTTGAACACTCGTCTCAGTACATGCTACTTTCATGAAATTTCTTCAAGTACTTTCCATTGATCACTTTACTCACATTTCTCGAATTTAACTCTTTGATCAAGTATGCATTGTTCGAGTAGATTCTTTCGATAATGAATGGTCCTTCCCAATTATAGGTCCATTTACCCCGATCTCGAGATTTCTAATCCATTGGTAGGATAACTTTTAGGACTAAGTCTCCACTCGAAAATTGTTTGCTCTTGACCTTTTTGTTATAGACTCGAGCTATTTTTTCTTTTTGGTGAATTACATTCTGCATGGCTATCATTCTTTCTTCATCCAGACGAATTAGTTCATCATACATTAAATTCCAATAATCCTTGACTGGTAACTTATTTTGCCTTTGCACGTGAATGGATTGCAAATTGATATCAATAGGCAAAATTGCTTTGTGACCATACACCAACTTGTATGGCGTAGTTTGAGTGGCATTCCTTAGTGAATTTCAGTAAGCCCATAATATTTGCAGCAATGTTTCATGCCAATTTCGAGGTTTCCCCGAAATATGTTTTTTGATCAAAGCTATGATCACTTTGTTAGCAGCCTCGACTTGGTCGTTAGCTTGTGCATAGTAGGGTGTCGAAGTAATCATTTTGATTCCTCTCGACTGGGCACACTGGACCACTTTTCGACCTGTGAACACCGTTCCTTGATCCGTAGTTATTGTCTGGGGTATTTTGAATCGAAATATAATATGGTCTTCAATAAAATTTATCACCTCTTTCAGGTCAACCTCCTTTACAGGAATTTCTTCCACCCAATTCATAAAATAATCAATGGCCACGATTATGTACTTATGGTTTTTTGCTGACGGAGGATGAATCTGGCCAATTACGTCAATTGCCCAACCTCGAAAAGGCCACGGTTTAACAATCGCATGCAACTTGGTTGCTGGTACTCTATGTATTGGGCCATGTTTCTGGCACTCTTCGCAACCCTTTGCAAATTCGATACAATCTTTCAACATGCTTGGCCAAAAGTATCCTTTTCTGGACAAAGTCCATTTCATTTTCTCCCCCGCTTGATGGGTACCACAAATCCCTTCGTGTACCTCTGCCATGGCTATATAGCTCTCATGATTTCCAAGGCACTTAAATAAAACTCCATCGAAGCCTCTCTTGTATAACTCATCGTTCAATATCACATAATTGAGAGCTCGATATTTAACTTTTCTGTCAGCTTGGGAATTTGGACTTTGCAGATTTTCGATTAGCTCTTTCCTCCAATCCTGAATGGTTGAGGTGTCAATGATGAAGCATTCGTGCTCGTCACTCAACTCATTATACTCGGTTAGATGTAAGAAATTATCTCTTAAGCAAAAAGACAAAGAAGTATGGTATATGGGGAAACTAGATGCCTAGTGCAATATTTTCAACAATTATTAGATAACCTTTCATTCTTCCATGCATACCAGAGATGGATGTTGATGAGCAAATCACATGTATTTTGGGCAATTGTAAAAATGGTGTTGTATTACAAGTATTTTGGTGATGTTGTCAAATCACATGTATTACAGGGACTAAAAAGATTAATTTTAAATTTGAGAGACTAAAAAACATATTTAAGCCTTAATGCAAAATAGTTAGTCTCGTAGGGGAAAGAAGGAAATAAAATTTGTTAATATTGAATCGAATGTGTTGATATATTCTACAAACAAGTATTAGACAAGTTAAATATCATTGATATAATAATACCCAAATACTTTATTTGTTTATAGAAGAATTGTGCGTAGTTATTTATTTATTTTTTTGACACCAAGAGTTGGACATAGTTAAAAGGCTTGATATATTTTCAATTTTCACTTATTTTTTCCTTCTATATTTTATTTTTCTTCTCATGTAAATCATAGTCGCAATCAGAATCATGATAAGAATGACGCAAAAATATTTTTAATGAAGTCACTATCAATTTTTTATTATGAAAAAAAAAAACATTGGAAAACCTTTTCAAGAAAAAATGGTCTTTGAAATTAGAGTTGGACTTAAAAGTCAATTACATACAAAGGAGGTATTGACATCTTACAAGGCTGATTAAAAACAATACCTTTAATAAATTGTGCAAAATTATGTAACTTTATAAATATTTATTTTACTCCTAAGAGATATTTGTTGATCCTTCAATTTATTAATATGAAAAAGACTATTTTTAATAGATTTTAATTTAAAGAAAAAAAAATTGCATAAAGATTTAAACTAATAAATATCTAATAATTAAACTCTCACAATAATATTAAAGGTAAAAGTGTTACTCAATATTCAATTAACATTACCAATTACAATATATTTTATAATATTTTATCGCAAGTTGACAAATTTCATTTTTTACACATTTTATAAATAAAAATTTCATGCAGAAGAACTTAAACTAACAAATAATTAATCATTAAATTCTCACAATTAAATATCATTAAAGATAAATTTTTATTCAATTAATGTTGTTGGTCGATGATATTGAAATAATTTTTAAAAATTTTTCATTTACTAAAAGTAATTTATTTTAATCTATGTGCAAAACTCATAATAACAAATAGCTATTTGTATATAAATCAAATCACATTAATGATACGATCAATTACTCAACTAACATCATAAATCATAATTTATGAAGTATATTAAAAACATTTTTATTACAAATTTTCAAAATCATATATAACCAATTTATTTTTATTTTGTATTTTAATATAAAAAAAATAGCAATTCAAAGCTTCTGACATATAAAACTATGGCATAAATCTTTAACGTTCTCATCTTCCACAAAACACTGATATTACTAAAATTAAATCTTAAAAAAAATCTTAACCCAAAGAAGAATGTTTCTTTACGTATATACATATAGAGACGTGGAATGGAAATAAAGCCAAACATTAAATAAAAGCCTAAAAAAATTGCAACCTAAAACTAACTTTTTAAAACCCCATTTTAATATCTTAATAAGTAATTACATATATACATGGAATTGTGAGGGAAAAAAAAAGTAAAACGAAACAAAATCATGCAAGATGAAAAATAAATAGGAACTTGTAATAGAAGCGAACACAAAATGAATGGTATTAGATTTAAAAATCAATAGGAAGCTACAACCTTGAATAACAAAGAAAGAAAGTCTGGTCAAAATCAAGAACCAACAATGCGATACTGCGTGTGGCTGAATAATGAGTTCCGTTTGCCGAGCTTCAAATGAATAATCCCGATTTTTCAAACACGAATCAGAAAAGTAAATATGAGAGATATTTTTGGATAAAAATACATTCACGTTTAGATAAACGTTTATACAAACACAAATATAGTAATGTGTCACACAAGATGTTATGCAATGAAATATTAGTGATTTCATGTAGACAGACTCTCTCAATCCCAAAGTTTTTTGTTTGTGAGTTTTCTTTTTAGAGAGAGTATTTCATTTTCTTAAATAGAAAAATTAAAATGAAACAGACAGATTTATCTCTTCTTAATCTAGTTCACTTTACAATCTCCTATTTTTTTTATACATCACTAGTGAAGTTAAGATACTTCGTACTTTTATTAAAAATAAAATAAAAATAAAAATTAAATAATAAAAATATGTTGGTCTAACTGGTATTATGATTAATCTATTAACTTTAATGTCTTGAATTTGATAAAAAAAAATTATTTTTTCTAATTTTTTAAAACTAAAAAAATATAGTGATCAATAAAATGTGAAGATTAAAACAATTATTAAAAAAATATATTTTATATGTTAGTTCAGATTAATTAACAATTATATTCTCTCCACAATAAGCTTTTACAACCTTATCTTCTTTTAACTAATTTGTTATCCTCAACTCTATATTATTTTTCTTTTTTTAGTAAAATAAAAATATATTCGACTAAAATTAGTTATCCAGCTATTCATTTTGACTTATTTATTTTTAAAATAGTCTGAATATACACAAGAAATGTTATATATAGTGACATACAAAAAGTGTTATTATAAATATAATATATATAGGTATATGTCTATTTGACATATAGTTACACACAATTTTAGTGTTGATTTTAAACGAGACTTAATAATATATTTTGTGTATTTTTATAGTTTATACTCATATTTTTTAATAATATACCAACATATATTGTAGTTATTGTGTGAGTAAAAGTAATTTTTAGTGATATCTATAATATCATTATAGAGTGTGTGTTAGTATATGTATTTTATTGTAGTGATAATGATGTTTTTCACATTATTCAAACTTTATACGTTGCTATATCCTTACCCTCCACCCGCGTTCCAAAACTCAACGTATTTTACTCGGGTCAATTGTGAATCAATTCACAGTAGCTTCTGCATTTTCTCAACATATTTGACGTAAAATGTAACGTAGATCCAAATTCACTCAATATCCATTATATTTAAATATTGCGGTTAACAAATAACAAATAAATATAACATTAAAGGCTGCTGGCAACTGGTTATTTTTAGCTTAAAAGTTATTTTAAATATAACTTCTAAAACAAATATTATAAATACTAACAAATTTATCATAAATAATATATTATAAATGTATAATTACACCTTTTCCTTAACACACACGTAATGCTCATTAATAGAATTAAATCTATTGATAACAAGTTTGATACGTTTCCTTTCATCAATACATAGATCGACTGTTTAAATAAGATTCTTCTTGTTAATTAAGATATTTTTGTAACATGGAAAACCTGTCTTCAAAAGTTAAATTTTATTGCTTTGACCGATGCTATGAGTATAACTTTTTTGTTAGACATTAGTTTGTGTTGTACTTTTCTCAAAGACAAAAAGAGAAAAAAGTAAATCGTACTTTTTCTTTTTCTTTCAGAAGTATAAATACGCAACAATTCCCTAACAAATTTGACTTGTACTTGTGCATGGAAAAGTGGTACCAACACGTCTTTCATAATAATATTCGGTAAGCATTATTCATTCATCTTCGAACACTGTCCTTTGCCGCGTTAAGCCCTTTTCCTTTTTCCTTCGTATCTTGAACTTTCCGATGCCATTACATATCCACGAATTTGCACCAACAACTAGACATCACAAACACGACATATATATAGTATAAAAACATCACCCCTCACAACATGTTCCACGTACAAAACTATCCCACGACCCCGCACGTGCATAACAATTTCACTAGTGTCGATTTGCATCAACTTTGTTGAGTTGTGATTTGTAACATTATGAGGGTGATCAACTGTGAGTTTGAGCGTGTCCTTAAGTATTTTGATGAGGATGGGGATGGCAAGGTTTCCTCATCTGAGCTGAGGAACAGGCTAGGCATGATGGGTGGTGAGTTATTGTCGAAAGAAGTTGAAATGTTGATTGAGGAATTGGATTCGGATGGTGATGGGTTGTTGAGTTTGGATGATTTTGTGAACTTGATGGAGGCAGCTGGTGAAGAAGAGAAGATGAAGGATTTGGAAGAGGCTTTTGAGATGTATAATGACACTCAAATGTTTGGCTTTATAACTCCACAAAGCTTGCAAAGGATGCTGGGTAGGTTAGGAGAATCAAAATCCATGGACCAATGTAGAGCTATGATTGGTCACTTTGACTTGAATGGTGATGGGTTGCTTAGCTTTGATGAATTTAGAGTCATGATGCAGTGATATTTTCTTTTATTTAATTTGTCATGTTAAAAATGGGATTGGGGTTGGATTTGATTCATTTGTTTGTAGATATCACTAGTAGTCCCTGGATTCATTTTTAGGATTATGTATGACTCTGATTTTCTGAGCTTTGCAAGCTCTGTATATATATCATTATTGCTGTTTACTATATTATTATATTTTTAATTTTTATATATAGATATAAAATAAAAAAAATATTAGAGGATTTAATTATAAGATTTTTAAACTTTAAAGATATTTTAAGAGAATTTTTAACTATAGAAACTTAATTAAAAACTTGGGAAAAACTATAGGTACTTTCCAAATTAATTTACAAAAAATATAATTTTAACTATATAATACAAAATTATTTATAATATGCTTTTCTTAAAATTATAACAAGAAATTATAAAATATTTTTAAAATCAACACTTATATATAAAACACAAATTTCTATTTTGCTCAAAAATTTTTAGAGTTTACTCCTTATCTAATTTTAGTTTTTATTTATCATAATTAATGAAGTCAAGACAAGTTATGCCTTTATATTTTATTTAATAAAGGTATTTAAGAATTACAAACGTTTGTTAGATTAATTGATATCGCATTTGATCTTTAAATTTTAAAGTCTCAAATTTGAGTCTTGTATTAGTAAGGGTAGTTAATTTTTTATTATTTAAAAATTAAAAAGAAAAATCGTCTAAAAAATGTGTATACCAAATTAGACTATCATCTTTACATTTGTTATATATTATATTATTTACAAATTAAAACAATTTTCATATATTAAACATGAATTTTTATTTTGCACGAGAGTTATTTTAGGAACTTTTTCGAGTTTTTAAGGATTTTTTTAACTTTTTTATTTAATTTAATTTTTATTTATCATAAGTATTTATGAATTAAATATTAATATTTTAAAATTAATATTTATATATTAAACATGAACATTTATCTTAATATATTTACTGGCTTTTCTTTAACATTAGGGTTTTTAGGAATTATTTTTAACTTATTATTTAATTCAATTTTTACTTATAATAATTATTTACGAATTAAATTTATAAATATTTTAAAATAAGGTTTAAATATATTTTTAGTCCCTCAAATTAAAAGAAAACCTTCTCAAATTTAAAACTGTTGTGTTTTAGTCCTTGTAATTTCAAAAAAAAAATTGTCTTAGTTCTTATACTTAAATTTTGTTCGAGAATATGTAAAATATTGTCACATAAAATCTATCTATTAGTATCTTGTTAGTAAACACATCACATTAAACTAACTGATATTGCATAACTATTTCAAATTTTCAGTTTCAGATATATTATTGGTGACTTGAGAGATTAAAACAAGATTTTTAAAAATTACAGGGACTAAAAATAACAGTTTTAAATTTAAGAAATCAAAAACAAATTTATCGTAAATTTAAAGGACTAAAAATATATTTAAGCATTAAAATAATTTATCAATAAATAAAATAAATTATTGTTACAATAAAATTATTTAATCATAAATCTAAAGTATAATTTATATGTTTAAAAATATTTATGTATACTAATTTTAAAGGGAGGAGGAGGAGGAATCCGTTTATACTAAGAGTAAGCGTACTTAGATTCACTTCATTTCACTCAATAACTCATATTTTATATTAAATTTTAACAAGCTAACCGTTGATTTTAAAGTTCTTAATGCATAGATTAAATATACAAATTTTTAAAAAATTTAAAAGTCATTTGATACATCGTTTCATTAATTCAAATTGACAAATAATTATAAAATTATTTTATACATTGATTTGAATTAATGAAACGAAGTATCAAATGATTTTCAAATTTTTTTAAAATTTACAAATTTGATCTATATATTAAGAACTTTAAATTTAACTATTGGATCGTTGAAATTTAATGTAAAATATGAATTATTAAAAATAGTAAGTCTAAATCTTAGAGTTAATAGATCTTTCATTATATATATATATAGTATGTTTGTGCATTGTACAAGTTAAAATACTAATTATAAATATTATTCAAATATTTTTAAGAAAATATTTATATATTTTTATTTTAATATTTTAGTTAATAATATAATTTAAATTTATATGTCAAAATTATTATAATTGTATATAAGATGTATTTATGAATATAAATTTTATAATATATATATTATATAAATTAATATATAAATTATATTATATAATATTGTATATTGTGTGTGTAATATAATATATAACATAATGTATATAAATAGAAGAAATGATAATTTATCTTATTTTATTGATTTTTAAATTAGCTCTTTTCTCATGATAAAAAATATACTATACCAATATGATAGAATAAGATATAGAATACCAAATACGACTATTATATTATATTCTGTTGATGTAATAAATAATGAATTATAATAAAATATGATAATTATCTTTTCTCATCTTATTCTAGTCATCCAACGAATCTTTATAATTTACTTATTTAGATAAAGCAAATGAGTTTTCTCACTCAGGGTTATGAATACAAGAGTTAACCCTACGTAGAACATCCTCGATCGCATTATGTTGCAATCTATTCATGTGCATTGGAAGATGTTAGTATTTTTTGATCAAGGAATAGTTATATTTTGTTTCTGCTGTGTATTTAGTTCACATTCACATACATAATAAAACTTAGTTTACAACCATTTAATATGTCAAATAACACGGGCCACCAATATTTTTGGTCATTAAATACAACCATTTGAGAGGCCCGTTAAGGATAGTTTTGGAAAGGATTTTGTCATTTTCTTTTAACAACTTAAGGCTTAGACCATTTGAGAATATTTTTTTGCAGTATAACAATAACATTAAAATTTAATTCTAAAATTTAGTGTCCGGGATAGATGCACGAGTGCCTATGTTGAATCTCATTATTGTTAAATAAAATAAAATAAAATTCTATCGATAAAAAAAATCCTAAAATTTAATGTTAATTGTTCAAAATTGTCGATTCTCGCTTCTTATCTAATCATAATGGCTTCTATTACTTCAAGATTTAACTTGGAACTTTTTTAAATAATTTTTTTCAAAAGTATTTAAAAAAAATAAAAAAATATTTTTCTTCATAAGTTAAATCTAACTCATACATAGATTAAAAATATGAAAAAAAATTTACAAATTAATTTATGTATAAATTAATTTTCTTTTGTATATAAATATTTTGATTAGACAAGACACAATAACATGCAAAATCAGAATTAATCACCAAACCTTTTGAATATTCCCAATGAGATTGCAAATTACTTATTCCACCCTATTTACAAGTTTGCATAAAAGAATTTAAACACAATAGACTTAACTAGTTATGTCACACTTACAAATTTTAATTAGTTTTATAATAGTTTATCTAAACATACTCTTGATCTTAAAAATTGAATGTTTGTGGAGAAGCATTAATAACATTAAAATAATGTGAATTGAGTATGACAAATTACTTTAATACAGGACTTACCTAACAAATTTTTAGGTCTAAAACAAAATTTTGAGGCAAGACCAATTTAAAATTAATAAGAGTAACATCAAAGTTAGTTGTCTTACAATTTTTCCCTCAATCACAAAAGAAAAAAAAATCATAATTGACACTAAATTCAACCAACTATTATAGAAAGGGCAAAAATTAGGTACAATTTTATAGGTACAATTGATATTATTCTTCAATCATAATGAGAGTTTCACCTTAGCAATATGCATTAATATATATTAATTAAATTACTTATGTCTACATTAAGTGTAAATGCAAATTATCGAGATAGATTTCCACTTTTGATCCAAAAACAACATTAATACCACACTTATAGAGCTATACTTAATTTTTGTCCCAAAATTGTATATATACTCATAGTAAATAACTTCCTTTTAAGGAATCTAAAGCAAAGAAATTGCCTTCTGATCCTACTTTAATACTCATCTCAAAGCAGTTTATCCCGTGACCTAAGCAAAAACTTATACTAACAATCATATTTTGCAGCTATAAAAGCAAGGTTGCGAATCTTAACTACCCAATACCATGAAATATAAAACCTCCCTGGAAATCAAATCGACCGAAGACTATATCAATTTACAGGCTTTAGAGTCCTGTCAATTTAAATTCTATATCTGAGTGTTTTACTAGACCAATAAGTGTTGGAGAATCGATAGTCGCCAACGTGCTGCTCAATTCAATTACAATATGAACACCAATTGATTTCAAAGCATCTTTTATACCGTATATATCCTCATGGTCTAATTTTTAAAAAAATGAAATGAAAATAATATTTTGCTGGTATTCCCTTGGTAACTACAGATTCACTAACTGGCCGCCTAATCAACCACTGCAAAAAGGAAAAGGAAAAAAGAAAAGAAAAGAGCAAAAAAGGCAAAAAGAACCGAGGAAAAAAGATAATACATCCCCAGGCATCTTTTCCACCTATTGATGCACCATGCAAAGCTAGAGCGCAGTGTGCTAAACTGCTTTGAGATTTGTCAGTAACAACTAACACGAAACCAGAATGGCTTCCTTAGCACAATTTCAAGGAAAAACGGGATATCATTCTTGTCATAAGATGCACCAGTCAGTGCGCCTCTCCTTTCCACCAACATTCACAATGAGAAAGTTGCCAACAAATTGCATATGGTACAAACACCCATTCCCATACAGGTTGCTGGATATTGAAAAAGAAACGTGTACCAATATAGGAGTGAGAACAATGCTTTTGAGGCTCTATATCAAACAAGTTCCTTCTTGATTAAACCATTCTCTTCCTGCAAGGACCAAATCATATTACAAGTGCCAAGATATCTCGCAATGGGAAACAACTAAAAGACTAACATATAAATGCAAAATCATTAGGATCTGAAAGATAAGCAGATCATATACATAATGAATTTAAAAATCAAAATGAGAAGCAAAAATCAAAACTCGAGCAAACAAAGAAGGAAATTTAAGCATCAACTACTTTCTTTGCAGTAAGAAACAAATGTAGAAATATCACGGCAATGAGCTAATTCAATTGAAACTGTACTATATGAAGTACTGGAAAATAATACTAGAGAAGCTTGAATAAATTCTGTTTTAATGCTAGCTTCATTATTCCCTGTTATGATAATGACATTCACAAAAAATAAGATACATGCAACAATTGGAGGATGTTTCAAATCAGAATGATCAGCTTCTGTACAAGTCAAGTAAAAGTCCTGAAAATGCAACAATGTTTATCAGGCCTGGTTTTTACTGGGCCCAGCCTGGCCTTTTTGGCCCGTCAGGCTGGACCACATTGGCCCAGTCTTTTTTGGGCCTCAAAATAAAGACATCCACCCAGCGGACTGGATCAAATTTGACACCTCTAATTAAGAGAATGGCAAAAACATAGCTAAATTAGAGGCACAGATGGAAGACTTGCCAAAATTGAGATACTGTAGGAAAAGGAACGTCCAGAAACTGAGGTAACTCAGGGAGAGACCCTACAGGCTGCAGGTCCGTGAGCACAATAGATTCGGAAGTAAGGAATTAGGATCAGAAGAGAGTTGGGTTGAAATTCACTCTGCTACCAACTTGATTCTGATACTAGAAAGTAAAGAGAGTATAACACAGACCACACAAGGAATATTACACTAGTTGACTGGGGAGCGAGTTTAGGATTTAATTACAATTGTAACAATGATTGTAAGCAGGCATTGACTGCATTCTCACAGAAAAATATAAATGATATTTTATGATGACAACTTTGCATTATAGGAACAAACAGAGTAAAACAGTAGCAGCAACTAGCATAAAAATTGAGACATGGATGGAATGAACTACAAGGAATGCCTTTAATCAGTTTGAGGATGCTGCAACATGCAACGATTATTTATGATGTATGAACTTTGAAAGTAACCAAATATCAATTGTTTTACTGAATTCATGCAAATATAGCATACGTTTGCAAAAGTGTAATCTCCATTCTAATATAAAAGTATTAACTGAATAGACAAAAAGAACCCAAACAAAGCCATTGCTGACTTTAGGAGCCACAGATGAAAAGTTGACATTCAGTCTTTCAATTGCAACAACACATTAGAACCTAGAGATTTGCATAGCCTTCCCATCAATAACAGATCGTTCATTTAATCAAATTAAGTTCAATAGACCACAAACAAAAAGTTCCACCTTAGACAGAGCCTTAACCTCCCTTTACCCAGAAAGAATTACAGAAACAGACTTTAATTAGCATAAGACTGCTTAAATAACTGAAAAGAAATTTTACCAGTAAATAAACCAAGGGTCTTTAAATTATCCTATCCAAATCTATAGAACAATAAAGATACTAAAACAATAGAATCAAATAAAGAGAACAAAAACCGAGATCAACTTTGAAGTCTCCCTATTATTTATATCTATGAAAATTCCAAGAATGGAACCTTAGAAACAACCCACTCAAATAAAATATCAATGAAATTAAAAAACTACTCCTTTTAAAAGACCATGTGCTTTACATCAAGTAGAGATCAATCACCTAACCTCATCCCAAATCAACCAATGATCCTAAGAAATCTCCTTAAAGATGCAACCTTGAGCCCACTAGGTAGAAACTCCAGAATAAACCAGGACACAACAATTACTGCAAATATAAGTTGTTTCACGCTGTATACATAGCAGGATCTTCCATAGGCACAATAAAATAGGGATGTTGATTAAACTATTCCTCTGAAATATCCTAATAGGACCCTACTCTTCATATATTTACCATAAAATTATCTATATCTACATTAATAAATAAAATCTCCAAAATGACCATTGCAAAAGTTACATAAAACCAATAAAAATTAATATAACATTACACTCATCTGCACCATCATGTAATCTGAATAACACTTATCTGACAGATACTCTTGGTAAACTGTTGGAAATCTAGTTCCTTGCAAATATGTGATCAGAGTAAATGACTAAATAAAGTTCTAGACAAACTAATACATATTGATATGTTGTAAAAGGTTAACAGAGACTATAAAAGGGCATATATTAAGATACTTACATCCACTGCCTGGAAAGATCTGCCCACGGATGACTTCTGAGAAACTTCAGGAGATGATGTTGACTCATTCTGGGTAATATCATGATTGTGCATCTACAACCAAATGAAATGAGTCAGATAAATTCTAATATGGTTTATCCAAAAAGAGAATTGAATAGATAAAAGCATATGATGATAAAATATGAAATCAAAGCCTTTCCTATAATTAAGGCTCCTTAAAATATGGTCTTTTAAGACCTAATTTAACTCAATCCCACAAAATGGTTTGTAAGGTGAGGAATACCAAAGTTTTACATTGTTTATATCTCTAGTCAATGTGGGACTAACCGGTGATAATTAAATATATTTTAACATTAAATAATCTATTAAGTATAAATAACTCATAAAGGGGACCATTGACCAGTTGTCCCCTTGATGCAACAGTTAGAGTTGTTGCCAAGTGACTAGTAGGTCACTAGTTCAAGTCACACAATCAGCCTCATGTAAAAGCAAGGTAAAACTGCCTAATAGAACTATAAGGGGTCTATTCCTTTCCTGGACTCCGCTGTGGTGGGAGCATTGTAGCACACCAGGTTGCGCTTTTTATTAAGTAAAACTTAGTCACAAGAAATCTAGTTAAAATTTTAAATTAATATAAAAGAACCATGTTATATGTCCAACAAGATAAAAGTTTAACAAAAAATAACAAAAAGGCTATAAATAGCAATCCATGCATGGACCTTTATTTTTCCTTTTATAAAACAATTACAAAATAAGGAAAAAAAATTTTAAAAAAGAAACAAACCTGTTTATTTTAGTATTTTAACTAGGGTAATTCAACTGATTCTTCATCAGTTTTTGGCATCTCTAGTTTGATGAAAATTCTGAGCAACACTGATCTAAAAAATTATTCAGTTTTATGGTTGACCAGTTGTCCACTTGATGCAACAGTTAGAGTTGTTGCCAAGTGACTAGTAGGTCACTAGTTCAAGTCACAGAATCAGCCTCGAGTAAAACTGCCTAAATTAGAACTATAAGGGTCCATTCCTTTCCTGGACTCCGCTGTGATGGGAGCATTGTAGCACCAGGTTGCGCTTTTTATTAAGTAAAACTTAGTCACAAGAAATCTAGTTAAAATTTTAAATTAATATAAAAGAACCATGTTCTATGTCCTACAAGATAAAAGTTTAACAACAAATAACAAAAAGGCTATAAATAGCAATCCACGTGTGGACCTTTATTTTTCCTTTTCTAAAACAATTACAAAATAAGGAAAAATTTTGAAATTAAAAAAGAATCAAAAACTAGAACTGATTCTTTCCAGTTTTTGGCTACTTTAGTTTGATGAAAATTCTGAACCACACTGACCTGAACAATTATTCAGTTTTCTGGTTGTTTGACCAGTTCTATTTTTTTAATCCTTGAGAATATTCATAATCAAAAACATTTGTAAGAGAATATCATTTCTCAATTTTATTTTCCTGTAATTTCTGTTTCTGTATCTTGCTAGTATCCTGTTGTAAACTAAACTTTGTTACTTTATGTTATTGTTAGATTTTTATAACTGACCACAAGTCAGTTAACAACTAGTCTTCAACCTATCTCTCTATTATAAATAAGATTCTTGTACATAGGATGGGTGCCATTTGTACATTTCACATTTTCAACAGTAATAACAAAATAATATTCTCTCACTCGGTTCAGTATTTGTTCAACATTATAACAGACCAAATTTATCACTAGAAGAATTCTGTGGTGGGTTAGTTAACTGGACAATTCACAAAAGGACCAATAATAACTTCGTGCACATAGTAGAATACTTTCCTATCATAAAAAAACATATTATGAATGATATTCTATTTAGTAAAAAAGTATACAGTGCACCAGTTCTCTGCCCTATTGGCAATCTATTGACCATTGTATTGGGCACCAACAATTCAATTCAATAGTAAATAAAGCTGGTAACAAATTAGGGTACTGGTGAACTAGAAGTACCCAAATAGATAAAATTGTTTCTCTCTATAGGGATGAGTGTAGAATCAGATAAAATTGCACAACGAAGTGCCAAACCAATACCAACTGAAAATTAATCATGGCATATGATTCTGAGAAAAGTTTAGCCTACCCCATATGAATATTTGTTTTCTTGACCATCTTCAAATAGGGATGAGTAGTATGATGGATCATAGATGGCGCCTCCAAGTATCTCATTGGAACCGGAACATTGCCTAACTACTGCCGGTGTCACAGGACTCATAAAACTACTCCTCAAGTCTGAATCTGCTGCTCTAGAAACTGTGTCCACATAGGAAGCACCCAACCTATAAATTTGAATCCATAACAACGAGGATGATAGCCTCACTATAAAACCAACAATTTGCATAGCCAGAGTAAGTTTCACTGAAAACGTGAAAAATGCTGTGTACTTCTCAGTAGAAATGTTCCTGCAAACACACACGATGCTCTTCAGCAAATATGAATGAAAAACACAGTCAGAATCATGATCACTTGTTTGATTCTTACAAGCAGAGAATTTTTTGGTTCAATGAATATGTATACTCTCTTCACTACATACAGCAGCAACTTCTTATTGTTAAATTCATAAACAATACTCAACGTAGGATGCATGTTGTGAACCTCAAATTTAACTTGACTAAGCTTTAACCCTATTGCAAATAAACAATTTAGAAAAGAAAATAAGCTTTTTGGATACAGTGGCCTCCATGTAACATGGCTGAAATAATAACTCAAGGATGCAGGAGATGTCATAGAGATTCACATTACAGGAAAGATAAATTAGCAAGAAATGATCGTCAGCCTAAAGAGTTCAATTCTGATCAAAGAACAACACCAAGAACACCTAAAGAACATTAAGTAAATTTTGTCCTAATCCGCATTTGCTCTTCATAACCTAAGGTCATAAAATACGACAAAGACAATGACACAGTCAATGTCCCTTCCTTAGGGGCAAGAAAGAATCATTACGCAAGAAAGTAAGCCAAGATTCAACCATTTGTTCTCAAGCAATACTATATCGAATAAATTATTATATAATATATAATAAAAGAAAGAAAGAAATTGCAGAACGCACCAAATTTCGTGAGCGAAAAGAATGAACCAAGAAATATCGAGCAAGATGGCACAGAAGAGAAGAAAGGCGTAGGTACGGCCAAGGCTCTGACTGCTACTCTCAATTGCGACCAAAGCGAACAACGCGATTGCCAGATTAATGAGCGACACACCATTGTACGATGCTCCCAGCGATCCAATTAACGCGCACCCAATCTGAAAGCATTTTCGATTATAAAAAAAGACACAATGCAAACAAGAAATTCACGAAACTACAATGCCGAAAAAGAAAAAAGAAAAAAAAGAGAGAGACTCGGTTAGCACCTGAACGTAAATGAGGATTACAGCGAATGACTGGAGCCTATCGTAGTCGCGCATCCATGGCTGAATTCGGTCTCTCAAATTCAAACAGAATGAACAACAAAGCATCATAAAAGCCTGTGACCGATTTAGCCTTCAATCTAAATCAATCGCGTGAAGTGGAAAAGGAGAATGCGTCATTCCCCACCCTGAAGCTTTCTTTTCTTTTCTTTTCTTTCTAACTAAAAACTGCGACGTTCTTGTTCTTGTTCTTGCGTTGTGTCGTTCACACTCTGGTTTCGTATTCTTCGTTTTCCTTTCTCTGTCTCTGTTGGCGACTAGCGAGCAATTACCATTTCGAGGAGCCAAATCCACAGAGCGAAACGACGCTTTGGAGGGCGATTGCAACTTATATTGTGCCCTTTTCTCTCCACTCCTGTAACTAACTTTTTCCTCTATGGTCTCGCTCCACACCAATTCAATCATGTAGTGACAAAATGTATTGGTTAAAATAATTTTTTTCACTGCTTGCTTTTCATTTGTTTTACAATTATTATTATTTTAAAGGAGTTTTACTTTGGTATTACCACGGCAAACAAATATTAAATGTGGAATTCGGACTTGATGCGAGCATTAACACATTTGTCAACCAATTAATTGCTTGTCCATGCTTCATGGTAGGTGCTTGGAGGATGTAGCATGTCACATGTGCTAGGTTTTTTTTTTTTTTTTTTTTACTAAACCAAGCTAAAATCTTCTAATCCTATACATTTATTAGTCAATGAATTAGTTATATGGTTAGTCTCACGAAGAATATGCTTATAACTTACAATAATCAAATCATCTGTCATATTGATTACCACAAGGAGTAAAATGTATGGTGGCAATTAATTCCATCATTTAAGAATTGCACTATAATGGGTGAATTTGATTCAACTTGAAACTCTTTCATAAACTCCTTCAAACCGTAGAAAATTTCCTAAAGTTTAGTTTAAATCACTAGAATGTTACAAAGCTTACAAGAATATGTAAGGACAAAATTTCCAAGTGATCTCGAATAATGCTTCCACAAGATGCCCCCTTCCCTATTGTAATTGCCATGTCCCTATTTAGTTTGTAGACACCTTCTCGAGGCGGAGTCCATGATATTCCTCCTTGGATAGCCATCCTTCCCTAAACTAGTCGAGAGGAAAAAGCTTGTTGAATTTGAGTAAATCTAGCTTACGCTTAGGGTTGGTCTACGTTTGAGGCAATAAAGTCTAACAAATTTTAAGAATTCTAAAGTTTATTTCTTGGTTGATTTATTAAGAAATAACATATTTGATGAAATTTAATGGTAATGTTACTTGGAAGTATACATTTAATGTCTAAAGATAGGTTAAATATTTTGTTTGATTTTCTTCGTCTTATAAATAATATATATTTTTTATATTTTGTTTGATATAGTATATCTTGGTAGATATTTGACTTTACTTTTAAAAAAATCTTTTGTTTGTTATCATTAAAACTGAAAGATTCAAGATTGTCTTTTGACTTAACAATTTTTTCCTTTTTGATGGTGACAAACATTCTTTAAAAAACTTAATCTTATTTTATTTTTGAAAGTGATTTTCTTTTAATAGGATGAAAAGAGTTTTCAAAAAAGGTTTAGATTAACAAGGTATACTTAAAAAAAATTATCATACTAAAGTGAATTATATATCTAAGATTTTGAAGAGAAATCATATGAGCAAGTTTGATTAAGTTCTTATATTTTTCTTATGACATATGATTCATCATATTTTCTTGGTCTTATCAGTCAAACGATATATTGTTTGTGATAAACTAAGACGTCAGAGCATTTAGAGCATACAATTTGTGAATAGATTTAAGCATTTATGTATATTAGAGCATATATGTTTATGTCCAAGCATTTTCTTAAGAAATGAAAAAGTTTAGAAGCTTAACAAATTTATTCAAACTTGTTTGATTTTTCAAAAACTTGGTTTTATCTTGATTTTAATTAAGGCATTCAGACAATTAGAACATTATGAAATGTCTTAGACTATATGCAATGCATAGGAGACCCCCTAAAAACATGCATAATGAACATGTTAGAGCATTCACAAAACAAGTATCAAAGCATGAAAGATTTTGTTATCAAGCATTCAAAACATAATGTTAGAGCTAAAAAAATGTCAAGCACAAAATATTGAGGCTAAAGAAATAATTAACAGAGTTAAAGAAATGTAACTTCATTAAATAAATGTAACTTCAAAAAAGAAATAATATCCTCAAAAGAAAAGTAATAAAAGAATTATAATTTTTCACTCCCCTTTTTGGCACCAGTAAAGGTTAGGCCAACAATAAATCTAGGCCAGATTAGGCTTTGTCTTCATCGGAGCTCAAATTAATATTGAGGCAAGACAACAACTTGTTGAACTTTGTCTCAAATTATGTCTGTCTATTTAATGAGTAGTGCAAAGCCCTGTAAAGCCTGGTGATGACCTGATCTCGATGCTCTTCAATAGCTAGGGGAGGAAGTGTTTGAGAATGTGGTGGTGATGATGGTGGTGCAGCAAACAGTCCTAAAGACTCAAGGGCAAGCAACCTAAACATTTTCCTGTACAGAAAAATGATATTCCCTAGCAAGAAAATATGAAAAGTAAAATTGAAAGGGGAATTGTAATGATACAGTCATTGTCGGAAAGAAAGAATGTGGGAGAGGGATGGCTCAGTTTGGCAAGGTGGAGGATAAACCATGTAGCATCGACCTTTAGATTAAGGTAGTTATTCTAGTTGGTCATACGCGAGCATGGGCTCTTGAAAGGTGTGGTGCCTAGCATAGTGAGCATAGTGTCTATTAGCATATACTAAGGCATCTTCTCCTTCTCTTTATGTGTTGAGTGAAGAGAAGGTTTGGAGACAATGTCTTTAGTATAGAACCTGGTCCATTGTTGAAGCATCCATGGTTTATAAGGCTCTTCAAGCATGGAAGGGAGGTTCATAGAAGTGCCTTTTAGGCTTAGTTCCACTACAGCTCGAGAATTTAGCATATTCTACATCTTAGCTTGTTGTTGGACTATCCTCATGGTTTTCCTATCCAACCAAGAACGGTTTTGGAGATAAATCTCCCTTCTAACCACCTGCTTAACTATAAGAGGATTAATGCTTATGCTAGGTGCCTCAATGAGATGCATGTGCTCAAATTCGATGAAGTTGAGGAATTCACTGTGTTTGGTCGAGTCATAGATAAAAGGTACCCAATCATCATCTAAGGACATCTCCTCCTATATTCTTTCCATTTCTTGCTCCTCCTTAGAGTCTAGGCTACCACTTTCAAAATCATCAAATGGTGGAACAGACGATGCAAAATCTTGGGGAGCTCTCATGTTTGTTTTCACCATAGAGTAGTCAACATTCAGAGGTATTACATTAAAAATTACCTCTATTGAAAGAGTATTTACCGTCCTACTCCATGGAGGCTCTACCAAAGTTGGAAATTAGAGAGCAGACTAAGATGGTGTCAGACAAGATGGATAAATTCTCATGGCCTCGATGTCAGCCTCATGAGCCTGAGCAAGATCATCAAATGAAGGCTCCCCCTAAGCATCTATATAGGGTGCCTCCTAACCTTGTGGATCTAGTGCGTCCTACATGTAACATCCTGGAATTTCTACTATTGCAATATCAATTATTATCTATTTTTATATATTTATGAATATTATTTTTTATAGTTATTTTAGTTAATTAAAAGGGGTTTTTATAAAATATTGTAAAGGTTTTTAATAATTTAAATTATTTATGAAAATTTTTATAAATTCTATTTTTTTTAGGCTGGAACGGGCTGTTCCAAAAGTGGAACAGGTCGTTCCAAACAATGAAAATAAGTTATTTTCAAAGTGGCAGAACGGGCCGTTCCAAAAGTGGAACGGGCCGTTCCGAATTTGTACAAAGGCCTATTTGGGTTTTTCTGGAACGGGTCGTTCCCAAAGTGAAACGGGTCGTTCCAGAGTAAGAAAAATGTTTAAAAAGCTAAGTTGGAAATGGGTCGTTCTCCTTGTGGTCAATCTGTGTAAAAGTGAACTCCAGAACGGGCCGTTCTAATTTTAGAACGGGCCGTTCTAATTTTAGAACGGGCCGTTCTGCTTTTTGGAAACGGGCCGTTCTGATTTTAGAATGGGCCGTTCCAGTTGCAATTTTTGTATATGATCGAAGGCTCCGGAATGAGCCGTTCCAGATTCAGTACGGGCCGTTCCGGGAACCCCTGGATGCCTATAAATAGGAGGGAGGGGGTGAAAAAAATTATACTGACTGAGAAGGTGAAAATTTTAGAGAGAGAAAGGGAGAGAGAGAGAGGGAGAGAGAGAGAGAAAGAAAGAAAGAAAGAAAGAGAAAGAGAGGGAAAGAAAGAGGGAATCCAGAGGAGGAGGTCCTGCCCAAGTTCTAGCTCCTGCTTATCCAGGTAAGGGGGGAGTGAGGAACCTCGCTCGTGGGTGTGGGGATAATTGTTGGATAGTTTGATTGTCGGATTGGCCCCCAATCCCTTGCCTGTTGTTTTGTTTTACTTTCTGTTTGCTTTACTTTGTTCCTTGTTGGAAATAATAAATGAATACGTAATTAATGTTAAAAATAAATAAGTTTTAATATAAATAAGAATGTTCTCTGTGAATTCCTGTGCAGACTTTATGAGAAGTATTTATGACTTGACCATGTGAAATATATACCAATGACATGAGACATAAAAATGGACTATTGAGACAAGCTATGATTATAAGAACATGAAAAATGATGACATGATGTACTAAATGAAATTCTGTAATAAGTTAAATGTCGAGTCAATGAAATTATGAATGTATGACATGCATCATATGCATATATTACTCCAGGTGTGCTGCTGAGGCCGCATACCAGTTATGCTAACAAGGTGTATCTTAGGGTCACCCACGACTAACAAGGTGTACCTTAGGGTCACCTACGACTAACAAGGTGCACCTTAGGGTCACCCACGACTGACAAGGTGTACCTTAGGGTCACCCACGATGTAACTTGCTAACAAGGTGTACCTTAGGGTCACCCACGATGTAACTTGCTAACAAGGTGTACCTTAGGGTCACCAGTGATGTAACCAGGTGTGCCTTAGGGTCACCAGTGATGATATGTGAAACTTTCGTATGGCGCCACATGCATGCATATATGAGTCGAGTCCTTGACATCATTGCATGATAAATAAGTGTATATTTGATATTGATTATGTATGTGTATTGTTTACATGTGACTTATATTTGTTGTGTGTGTGTGTGCTATCCAACCTTAATTTCTTCACCTGAAACTAAGTGAGATGTTTCTCACTCCCTTGTTGTTCTTGTATATGTTTAAATTATGTTGCAGGTGATCATCATCATGAGGAATGTTGGTGATGAGACTTAAGGCTTCAATTGAGCATGTTCTGATAGGATGTGACATCGGGACATAGCTAGCCTAGTCTAATATGTTA